AGCAGACATGGTACAAACAACATTCTCTGGTGTTCGCTGCCGCGCCTCCCACCCCCCCCCCCACCAATTCTCCTCCCCAAAGAAGAATGTGAAAGCAAGCAGATACAGTAAAGCCCCGTTAATACGGACACTGGAGGGGCCATATAAAGTTTCCGTATGAACGGGGTGTCGATTGTCATGTCATGTTGTTAAAGACAAAAAAAACTTACCTTTAATTAGAACAAAAAATCGAAAGAAATAAAAGAGGACATAAACTTCGTCACACGAAACATCTCCAACCTTAACAAAGCCGTCATTCCGCGAACTAAATCCGCAAAAGACTCAAAAATTGCTCATCTGTCAAAACCGTGCCGTGCGTTCTCTACATAACTCGTTTGATGCTGGGAACCTGCCGGGACATCAGTATCAACGGAAGGTTTTTTACTTTCAAAAAAGGAAATGTCTATTAGAGCACAAAGTTCGTAATGAGGCGTCCTCCTTAGCGAGGTTGACTTGCTATGAGAATCTGTTGATTGGGCAAAAACAAGTCCTTCTTCCCGGCTTTAATTTAAGTACATGAAAGGTTAGGGACATTTATCATATATTTCGGCCTGTAAAAAGGCCCAAACGGGGCGCACAGATGCAATCCATTTATGGCTGCAAAAAAGTCAAGAAAACGTTGTGTTTTCGTTGTTTATTGATATCTTAAAAACAGCAGCTTAAAGGGATGCAAAGTTGTAAATTAGGTATGTGAAAGGGGTACCATTTCCCTATAGAAGGTATACGAAAGAGGCACCTTTTCTGTTAAAAAATTAGTAGATAAAAGGGTAATAAAAGGTTGGACTTCAGGGTCGAGCCTCTCCGTATAAACTTTGTTTAGTATCTCTCCTCGCCCCGCCTCCAAAAAAAAAACCTCCCGGGACACGAAGGAAAGTTTAGTAGACAAAGGGAACATTTCCTGCCATCTCCCGGAGCTCCCGCTTTCCGCTCCTTAATCTTGTCTCCCTGACTGGAGGGGCCTCAATATTTTGATTATGCTGCTAAAAATAGCAATTCTGCGGTGACGAGAAACTTCATTTTTATAAGAGATTACTGATATAAGAAACAGGAAAGGGCTTTGAAGTGGAATGAAATGACTCAACGATCTTGGACAGGTCATGCTTCGCGTGCTTACAGCGAAGTAATCAGTTCTAAATTTGTCAGAATAAAACAATTTTGATCTCTTGTTTAACCTTATGCTCGTGGGCAAACACAGTAAGTTTTAAGTGGTCGATTAGATTTCAGCTTAGAAATTTGAACAAGAATTGTCTGAATTGTTGCACGTTAGCAACGTCAAGGCACTCATTGGGTGCCGTCAGTGTTGAAGTTTGTGACGCCCTCCTTCTCTTTCTTATATCCGTCAATATATGTTTTGTATCATAGCCCCAGGGGTTAATTTCATCTTATGGAAATCAACTCAAAGTTGTTTGTTAAAGACTACTCTATATGTTGTCCGCTTTTTGCCATGGATACGAGAAACGTAATAGTCTCTAGCTATACAGTGTCTATACAGTTACAATTCAACAGCTATCTTCGCCTATGCTAATATCCTTCGCCTGGTCAATTGTATTGCTCGTAAATTTCATTTTGTGGTTTTCTCTGAAATTGTATTAGTACAAGTTTTCTTGTCGGAGATAACAAGATAAAAAAGATGCTTAAGATGCTAAAGCGATTCTTCATCACTGCCTAGCTGCACTCCAATCGGTAAAAGCTGTTACACCCGGCTGGTAAGTTAACCTCTCTTAAACTAACCACACTGAATATACGACAGCTAAATATATTTTGTTTAAAAAGTTATTGGGATGATAATAATATTAAAACTCAGTTAGGGCGCCTTTAGTAAGTAGAGGCAAAGAAAAATGTTGCTTGACACTTTTAATTTAAATGTATGGATTGGTTACAATTTTACATTAGTGTTCCATCGAGAACGCAATTAAAAGTGGCGGTATAAATCTTCAGGCAAGAAATGTGAATTAGATTTTCACTAGAGTGAAAAGTTAGAGCCTCATCGCGTGGGGAAGGCAACGTATGTAAGCCAATATAACCGAGACAAAATGAAATAGCGGCTACAGGAGCCGATACAACATATTCTAATATCATTATTTACTCCTGAATTCTGTTCCCTCCTGCTTTAGAAACTGGTATATTCGAATGATAACCCATTAAGTAAATAATTTTAGTGTACTAGTACTAGTTTCATCCGAAAACGGCGCGATCGCAGCTCCTAACTTACTGCTAAGTGACTCGTCATTACACAGGAGCGGTTGCATTTTAGCTCAGATATATGTTCCAACTCAGTGGCCAGAGAGGATGGGTTCGGCAATATTTTTATCAGTTATCGCTTAATAAACAGCACCGCGCGATAGTGCGACCAGATTTTACTGAATGAAATTTGAAAATTTAGAAACCATCTTTACTTTTGCTTTCGAAAGTAGCCATTTACTTCTTAATAAACGGTAAACGTGTGATGCCATTAACCCACCGATTCATCGGATAAAACCACCACGTATCTGTTGATCAAACCAAGAGAGAATGATCTAGCTCATTCTCTCTTGTCAAACCGGAAAAAACCTATTCAGAAAAAATAAGTTCACTTCTCTCTGCCTAGCATCACTGATTTCTTTGATCACGTGTACGTCCGATCAAAAGTTTGAAAAGCTGAGTTCTTTGAATTTTTACTATAGATAACAATTGAAAAAAAGAGTTCTTTTATTGGAAACCTGTCACTAGCAAAATAAGGAATGTTAAAAAGCTGTTAAAACAAATTGATATTTGGTAAACGATAATGGCATTTTTACACCTCCTGTGTTTTCCTATTTTGTATGTTGTCAGTGAATGACTGAAACCATTTTGTCACTTGAACACATGTTAAAACCTACAATAGAAATTAACACAAGAAATAATTAATTAATTTAAAATATAATATCGTTTGATTATATGGGCCTGCCATGAAATGAAACAAGTTCAATTCAGCCTGGGCCCGTAGAAACGAATTTCTGAGCGGGAGATCACAACGGCACGGTAGCAATGTTTGTGGCCTTGTCAACTGTTATGGGTGGGTGGCCCATTCCTAGCTGTAAGGGGGTTGTGGGTATCCTTCCCCGCAAAATGAAGTCTCCCAGGAGAAAGGGGGTGAAACGGGTCAACCCAATTAGTCGGTTCAAGTGATTTCAAGCCCCCCACCCCTTGGGGTGGTGGGGGTACTTTCTTATACGCAAATGTTGAAGTCAGTTTGGATAAGCCAGGGCTGGTCAAGAACCTGTTACTCGAAAGTCCAGGTAATTATTAGGTCAGGAGAAAGTTCTTGTTACTTTAATCATTAGATTGTTCGGTAGTTTTCCAGATAAAATGATCAAGAGAAAAAACTATTAGTTAACCTAGCTTAACCTATTACATCAGGACTCATTTGATGTGTACGTGAATGTAAATGGTAAATGATGAACACCTATTCTGAGGACCAGGATTCCTAAGATTTTAGTTCAACTCTTACTTACTTCCCAACTAAAGCCTATGTTTATAATATAAGTAGTATTAAGCAATAGAGGCAAAGCAATGAGGATTGAATAGTTTAAGCAATGAGGACAAAGAGCAGTAACACTGTACGGTCTCGCAATGGAGTTTTTAATTGAATCGAAACCTACCTAAGACTATTTGATAAGTTGTCTAGCGAAAGTCAACAATTTTTCCTGATCGATTTTTCTTGTTTCTTATCTACAGGTTTCAAAAAAGGAAGCGGCCATGGGAACCATTATTTCAAGGAAGAAAAGAAACGCTGTTATAAACAGCCAATCAGAAGCTGCCATTCCAGACAGGTCAGCTGAGGAGGAAGGCACACCCTATATGGGTAACCAAGCCACTAACCAGGAACCAACTGCCACTCCAGGCAAATCATCTGATGGGGAGGACACACCCCACATGGCTAACCAAGCCACCAATCAGGGACTAACTGTATGCATTTCCCATGACAACATGAATGAGTCCGATACCGAAGAAGATTCTGAAGCGAGAGATGAAAGTGATTCGGAAAAGTCTCACGATGAAAGCAATGATGATAAAAACCAGTCTGCGCATGACTCAGTGAGAGAGCTTTCTGTCAGCTCCAAATCAAGCGAAAGTGTCTCGACAGAGGCAAGTGCATCTGAGAGGAGTAAAACAAGATCGGCGTTGGATGGGGTGTCATCAAATGAGGACTTCGCAAAGGCTTGGAAGGAAGCTTTATTGGAAGATCTCGATATAAACGTCTCAGACAATGTCAAAATTGTCAGGATATTTACAAGTTCGACATTCACAGGTAATAGGAGAGAATTATTGCAACGTAATCTCATGAATGACCCCCCGCCGCGCCGGAAGGGGCTTTTTAGGGCTTTCATCCATTTTAGAGGGGGAAGCCTATGATTATTTGTCTCTTCGGTACGTAACAACCATAAGGTAAAGTATTTCCCCTTAAGAACAATAAGAAAACTACAAAGCTAACCAAAAAAACAAACTGAGGGACAAGGCGAACAGTGGTTTATGTATATGACCATAAAACGCACATAATAAATTTACCCGAATAGTGTTGACTAGGAACCCTATGACCTAAACGAATTGAGAGTATAAGAAGACTGTGTTATCAGTTGTTAATTTGTGTGGTAAGCGTTGGTAAATGACTGGGAGAGATTAGAAATTGGGCGTGGAACTTCACAGCAGGCCTTTTTCTTAGTTATCTAAGGCGTCAGGGGCCATTTATGCAAGAGGAAGTAGGAGTCAACTAAACGAATTGACAGATCTGGAGTAAAAAAAGTGTGGGCGGAAAAAAGGCTGCCGGAACGGGGGCGTCACTTGCAAAAAGAAAGCTGCGCCTTAGTCAGATGTTGCGCGTGCTCGTAATTACCTTTTCTTGTGCATCGTTTCCCGCAATACTGCAAAGTAAGGAGCTTTGAAAATATTGAGCATCAAGTTTTCTCGATTGTGATGGATTAGTTAATGATATTTTTTTGTCATTCGTAGATACCTTTGTGGAACGTAATGCCCTTATGGTGCGCGTCTACCCTCGACTTAAATCCTTCTGTCAAGAGAGAGGCTATGACTTCCAAGTGGTGGACATGAGATGGGGGGTCCGGGACGAGTCCACCGATGATCACATGACCACTGATCTCTGCATGAGAGAGCTGCGCGCATGCCAGAAGCTATCAACAGGACCAAACTTCATCGTGAGTACAAAACTCAGTTTTTGTTAAGCTTCCGTTGGATTGTTCATATTTCTAGCTTCTTGCTTTCATCCTCCCTTGATGCACTTTCCCAGTTAAAGAAAAGGGGCTACCATTCAAAATAAAGGAGATGAATAAAACAGCTTTAAAGTACCTTTTTTAAAAAAGTATCGAGCCTCGCTTGGTAGCCTGATCACATTATAAAACGTATAGAGCTTCACCCAAAAGTTGTATCTGAGCTCTCAAAGACAGACCCGCTAAGCACCAGCCTAAGCTTTTCCCCTTTAAGTAGACTTCCGCCATTTACAGAACGAAATGCAGGCAAACAAGTGAAAATCGTTCCCAACGGCTATCCTCTCTTGCTAGCTACTTATATCTGCCTAAGCGAGGGATTCACGCTATGAGGGTGTACGCCATGAGCAATGTTGAAATTTCATCGTAGAATGAAAGTTCCCCTAGCTTGATCAGCTTTTGTGAACCCTCTAGAGATAATGGTTGTGTACTGCTTATATTACAGACATTCCTTGGACAAAAGTACGGCTATCGCCCCTTTCCCCCCCCCCCCTCCCCCCGCGCCGGAAGGGGCTTTTTAGGGCTTTCATCCATTTTAGAGGGGGAAGCCTATGATTATTTGTCTCTTCGGTACGTAACAACCATAATGTAAAGTATTTCCCCTTAAGAACAATAAGAAAACTACAAAGCTAACCAAAAAAATACAACCGAGGGACAAAGCGAACAGTGGTTTATGTATATGACCATAAAACGCACATAATAACTTTGCCCGAATAGTGTTGACTAGGAAGCCTATGACCTAAACGAATTGACAGTATAAGAAGACTGTGTTATCAGTTGTTAATTTGTGTGGCAAGCGTTGGTAAATAACTGGGAGAGATTAGAAATTGGGCGTGGAACTTCACAGCAGACCTTTTTCTTAGTTATCTAAGGTGTCAGGGGCCATTTATGCAAGAGGAAGTAGGAGTCAACTAAACGAAGTGAAAGATCTGGAGTAAAAAAAGTGTGGGCGGAAAAAAGGCTGTCCGGAACGGGGGCGTCAGTTGCAAAAAGAAAGCTGCGCCTTAGTCAGATGTTGCGCGTGCTCGTAATTACCTTTTCTTGTGCATCGTTTCCCTCAATACTGCAAAGTAAGGAGCTTTAAAAATGTTGAGCATCAAGCTTTCTCTTTGTGATGGATTAGTTAATGATATTTTTTTGTCATTCGTAGATACCTTTGTGGAACGTAATGCCCTTATGGTGCGCGTCTACCCTCGACTCAAATCCTTCTGTCAAGAGAGAGGCTATGACTTCCAAGTGGTGGACATGAGATGGGGGGTCCGGGACGAGTCCACCGATGATCACATGACCACTTATCTCTGCATGAGAGAGCTGCGTGCATGTCAGAAGCTATCAACAGGACCAAACTTCATCGTTAGAACAAAACTCAGTTTTTGTTAAGCTTCCGTCAGAATGTTCATATTTCTAGCTTCCTGCTTTCATCCTCCCTTGATTCACTTTCCCAGTTAAAGAAAAGGGGCTGCCATTCAAAATAAAGGAGATAATAAAACAGCTTTAAAGTACCTTTTTTAAAAAAGGATCGAGCCTCGCTTGGTAGCCTGATCACATCATAAAACGTATAAAGCTTCACCCAAAAGTTGTATCTGAGCTCTCAAAGACAGACCCTCTAAGCACCAGCCTAAGCTTTTCCCCTTTAAATAGACTTCCGCCATTTACAGAACGAAATGCAGGCAAACAAGTGAAAATCGTTCCCAACGGCTATCCTCTCTTGCTAGCTACTTATGTCTGCCTAAGCGAGGGATTCACACTATGAGGGTGTACGCCTTGAGCAATGTTGAAAGTTCATCGTAGAATGAAAGTTCCCCTAGCTTGATCAGCTTTTGTGAACCCTCTAGAGATAATGGTTGTGTACTGCTTATATTACAGACATTCCTTGGACAAAAGTACGGCTATCGCCCCTTTCCGGCTAAGGTTAAGTCATCTGAGTTCGAGACGCTCCTTGCGGCAGTTGAGAAAGAAGACGATCTTCAGCTCTTGAAGCACTGGTTCTGGCGAGATGACAACGCAGTTCCTGCTCAATATTTGCTTCAGCCAATTACGTCATTGCTCCCCGATTATCGCAATTACGAAAACAAGGAGTTACGTAAGAAGGCGTCCTCTGATTGGTGGGCTGCGTTTGAAAGAATGCAAGTTGTTTTGAGGATTGCCGCTGACAAGGTGCTAGACGATAAAGAGCGACATAAGTATCATATGTCAGGTAAGCTGTCCACCTCGGCGAAGAACAATCTAGTAATTTGACAGGTTTGGCTGCCTATCATGTTTTTGGTAGTTTCATTTAGTGAGGGATCACCTGTCTTGATGAAACTAACACTTACAACAAAAGGACGTTTTTGAACTAATTTTGAAATTCTTGGATGATACATAATTGATTGCCTAACATCTTTTGAGGGAAATCATGTTTTTAAAAGCCTCGGTCTTTCCTGACTAAGAACAAGAGAGGATGATTTCTAAAATGAAACCGTTTTTTTAGTCTTGCCGGTTTGATTTAGTGATAATGTCGGCATTCACATTCTTTTGTTGTCATTTCGATTGTTCGTTTAGTGACGGAAGACGAAATTCGCCGTGGCATCATTACAGTATCGACTCCGGAAAAGCACTGTTTTTGGTTTAAAAGGGTGATTACAGATCTCATCCAAAATGCTGACGATCGCAACGCTGCCAAGTTCGTGGACAAGACGTACGGAGCAGAGCATTCAGTTATCGATGAGTCTGCACGGGGCCTGTTAGCACGTTTGAGAGAAAGTGAGCTACTAACTGCTCTCGCAGAAAAAAACGTGCTTGAATACAAAGTCAAGTGGACAAGTGAAGGAATAAGTCCAGATACATCTGATGAGCATGCTAAGTATCTTGACAAGCTTTGTACAGACGTCTACAATGTTTTGAGCAGTATGATTCAAGAGGCCATTTCAGAGAAAGAAACCAATGAAGAGAAAAATCCAGTAACTGAAGAAGTATTACAACATGCGTTATTCTGCCAAAGAAAAGGCTTAGCTTGTCAAGGACGAGACAGTTTTCTCTCTTTAGTAAAGAGATCCTTGCTTGACAATGACAGTAAGCGTGTGAGTGTACTCCATGGAGAATCCGGCTGCGGTAAGACATCCATTATGGCCAAGATAGCTGTAGATATCAGGAAATGGCTGGAACCAGAGTCAGCTATTGTGGTGCTGAGATTCATTGGCACATCTCCCGAATCATCCAACATCAGAATGCTGTTGAGGAGTGTTTGCCAGCAGCTGTATATGATCACCGGAAATGAGATCACGGAAATTCCAGAGGCAAGTTGGTACATAAAAATAATTGATTTATGAATCTATGAATTACATAATGTCAGATGGATTGTTGGAGTACCTTGCTATTGTGGATTACGGCCTCTTAGAGCAATTATCCGCAGTTTGGCAGATAATCATCTGATATCAAACTTGTCTTTTGTTCCTTTGCTATATCAGAAACTAATGTATCGAAATCCTTGTAGGATCCACTGGAGCTGTATGAGTTTTTTCCAAAGTGCTTAGATGAAGCCTGCAATTCTCGTCCCGTGGTGGTGATGCTTGATTCTTTAGACCAACTCCCTGCTGGTGAAGGAGGAAGGCGCTTAGATTGGTTGCCGAAGAAACTACCTGACAATTGCTACTTTGTTTTGTCGACTCTACCCGGCTCCGACTACGAGTGTCTACCCTTGTTGAAGGTAATAAATAACTCTAATTAGATAGCAAAGACGAACTAACACAAACCAGTCCTTGATTCCGGTTAAGATAAAAACACCTTTTTTCCAATCCGGAAAAAGCATTTGTGCGAGCAAATTTATGTTCTTTCTATTTGTTCCCGACTGGCATAATTTAGGCTCCTTTCTTTTCTTAACGATGTGGTCGTACGTTATCAGGAAACTTGTTATAAAGCCGCTAAATGGGCACAACAGAACCAGATAAATGCTAATAAAAATGTCCCCTTACTTTGTCTTTACAACAGGAACTCTATCTTGACTCGTCCTTTCTGGAAGTGCCAACGATTCCAGCAAATGAGGCTGACATAATTTTAGAGAGCTGGTTATCGTCTTCGCAGCGCTCACTAACAACTGATCAGAAACAGATGGTTTTAAATGCCTTTGAAAAGTGCCCGCTTCCTCTGTTTTTGAAGCTGTCTTTTGACGAAGCTTGTCGCTGGAAGTCGTATACCTCAACAAGTGAAACAAAATTAGCACCCAGCGTAAAAGACATCATTAATGATTTTCTGGATCAAGTCGAGCGTAGGCATGGGAAGATTTTGGTCAACCAAGCGCTGGCTTATGTTACTGCATCCAAAAATGGCCTGACCGAACCTGAACTAGAGGATATCCTCTCCCTGGACGATGAGGTCCTTAATGATGTATATCAGTACTGGACACCCCCAGTTCGAAGACTACCACCGCTTCTTTGGATTCGTGTCCGATCCGACCTTGGGGATTACCTCATTGAACGGGGAGCAGATGACGCTCGTCTGATCTACTGGTACCATCGGCAGTTCATCGAAGTAGCAATCAACCGATACTTAAAGGCAAGAAAAGAAGTTCATACCAAGCTTGCTGATTTCTTTACTGGAATGTGGTCCGATGGTGCAGCAAAACCTTTTGCTGACAAGAACGGAGAAACAGTGCTAAAAGATCGGTTAGTGGCCAGACAACCCTTAATGTTTCACAACGAGAAAGAAAACAAGGCAGTTTATAACTTGCGAAAGCTCAGTGAGCTTCCATTTCATCTGTTGCACGCAGGCAATCTGAAGAGACTCAAAGAAGAGACACTCTGCAATTTTGAATTCCTCTTGGCCAAGCTACGAGCAACATCCTTGGAAACTGTTCTTGATGACTTTACAGCATCTTTGGTGTTATATCCAGAAGATGAAGATCTCGTCACATTGGAGAAAACCCTACAGTTGTCATCCTTCGCTTTGAAAGGAGACGCCAATCAACTAGCTCCACAACTTCTTGGAAGGTTAACGGTGGGCTTTGATTTAGTAAAATTCAGCGGCATCCACATCCTGCTTCAACAGGCTTATTCCTCCTCAGTGCCCTGTCTCATACCGAACGACAAATGCTTGACATCACCTGGAGGATCCTTGATTTCGTCAATAAAGATACCTGGCGAGCCCACCACTCAGTGCTGTGGTTTCAGTTGCGATGGAGAAACGGCGTTCATCGCCTCCTCGTTCTCAGAGTCTCTTCAGTTGTTGATTATCAACTTGTTGAACGGCAAAACTCTGCAAAGAGTAACTATACCAGAGTCCCAAGGTGGTGGCTTGGTGTGGAGTATCCAGGGAAGCCAAATTACGCCAGACCTTCTCCTTTTAGCAGGCTCCGCTGACATACTTCTAATGAAAGCATCCAAAGGTCAAATAGTGCAGAAATTCGCCGCCCTTGATGAAGAAAGCCAATACTCTCCGATGCCACCAGTTGCCTTCGCAGACAATGAAACGCGGATTGTCGCTATAACAGATAAGAACCTTAAGATATGGACAGTTAAAGATGGCCGCCTTCTACACCAAATTGACATAGGCAAAATATCAACCGATGAGCAGTATGGTTCCTTGGGAACATCAGGATACTTAGCAGCATTCTGTGTCCATGTGTCAGGGAGCTTCAAGGTCCTCGACTGCAGAACGGGCAAGATGCTTAGAGAAGTCAGCGTATTCAGTGAAGCTGATGAATGTTTCATTGCCGAGGTCAAAGTTACCTCAAAGGACCAAGTTGTTGTGACTTCTTCAGAGAAAAATAATCTTCGTTTGTACGATCTTCATTCTGGAGATTTAATCAGAGAGGTGCCGCAGTTTAGAATTAACTCTGGCCTTCTTCGTCTTCAAATCACAAAAGACGGAGCAAAAGCAGTGGGTATTCATGATTACGAGATTCTGATTACAAACCTTGAGGATGGAACAGTTAATAAAACCTTGAAGAGTGAGTCGTTCGGGACACTGATAATTCATCAAAATTTCTACACCAGAGATGGAAAATATGGTATTTCAATTGCTCATGATGAAGTAATTCGCATCTATGACCTAGAACAAGCTGTTAAGGAGAACAAAAAGGCCGTTCAAAAAGGATCTAAGAATCATAAGGCGGTGTCTTCAGTTGATTCAATTACATATCTCACACGTGATGACTGTACTGACAGATATGTTATTGCCATTGCGACGGTCAATGGCACCAACGAAATTCTCATTTGGGACACTTTCAAAGGTGCAAAAGCGAGGGCACTCAAGATGACCCAAGATTTGCCACCCAGCACAATTCGAATGGGCGCAACAACCCGTGCGGTTGGTTATATCCACGACAAAGATTTCCTTCACTTCCAAGTATTTGACCTGCACGCCGGGAAAATTGAACGACGGTTGCAGGGTAAAGCACCCAAAAGGACTGAAGCTTTTGGGTTCACTGACGACAGCCACATCATCACATTTTCCCGCGGGAGACGCAACCTTAAAGTATGGAATATCAATGATGGTAAGCTAGTCAGCCAATACAAGTTTGGACAGAAGTTTCGATTTGAAGACATGCTTGTCAGCAGGAATGGTAACGCAGTTGTCTGCAGTCAAGTGGGTCAGACAGTTGAACATGATGAAAGCAGTGTGCCGCTGGCTTTCTTGAACCCGCAGAATGGAGAGCAGAAGTTCTTAGAAGAGAAGGGAACCCAATTGTTGCTCTGGAATGGATGCGTTTCGGACGACGGACGCTACCTCGTTTGCTTGACCAAGGAATACAGTGCACAGCTTTGGGACTTGACGAATGGGCGAATGATGTATAGGCTCAGTGTTGATGAAGAAAACACCCATGTCATTGCCACGGCAATATCAACGCTCAGCAATGTAATTCTTACCGGCGAGAGCGATGGAGGTATCAACGTTTGGGACATTACCAGTGGCCATGTTCAGTACACTTTCTTTTGCGATGACGTCGATTCCTTATTCATTACAAAAGACGGACGAGTGGCATTCTCTAACTATCGTTCTAACAATCGCAACATTGATGCTTGGGACTTAAGCAATGGTTCAAAGTTAGCTTCCTTCACCTCAGACTGGAAACCTGAACGAATTGTGATCTGCGGCAACCGCCTCGTAGTTGCGAAAGCGGACAAGCCAGAGCTTATGTCGCTACGTCCTCACATTCCCGGATATACAGAAGATGTCGCAAATGAGGATGGTCATTTCATGGATTGTCCCTTGGAAAGTCAGATGCAGCCCCTATTGGAGATTGCAAGTGGTGAAGATGAAGATGAAGATGAAGATGACGATTTTGATCAAACTGACATTCAGAAAACAGAGCTAACTAAGAAGGCAGTGTATGCAAGCCCGAATGTTATAATCGGAGGGGGTAGTTCAGTATTTGCGTCGAAGAATATTTTCATTTCTGGTAACGTCACAATTAATGGTATTCCAATACAAGATTTGTAGGTATCTTCTTAGTCATGAAATAACAGCGTATGTTGAGCAAGGGTTCAGGTATTCAGTGTTGTTTCATGGCAATAATACTATCTCAGTATTATTATATGTACCCTCAGAATGTACATCGTGCAGCTTAGGAAGCCCTGACGGTAAAATGTTTACGGGATTCAAGAGGAAGGACCTAAGTCAGACCTAAGATGCCAAACTTAAAATCTGTTTCCTCTTACATGTCCTCCTGCAATATTTGAGTGAGTTCGCAAGGGTAAGCCTAACGTAAACTTCATTATGTTCAATTAGGCACCCATAGCCTCCTCTGATCTACAGAAAGGTAACTGTTCTGGTGCGGTCAAACACACAAACGCTTGTGCAAAAATTTTTAAAGTTTCATGCTTTTTTTTAAACAAATAAACAGAAAATCTTGAAAATGATCGCCCAAATCTCTTTGCGGGTGGGCGTTCAAGTAGAAGGCATGCAAAGGAAAACTATCGTTGCATTTTGCGAATGAGTCAGTTTTTTTTACAATAAAAATTGGCTTTGTTCATAGATAACCCTGAGACAGTGACAAACGATGTGATGTCGCCATTCTATTCCCAGCCAACTGATAATTGTCAAAAAGTTGTTTCAAACAAACGTTTCGTTGTATTAATGAATTTCTATTCTCCCACTTGAGTATCTGAGCACAAGCTATTACTAAACATACATATTTAAGCTCTTCATTGAGTGGCATTTTTTCATGGCGTCAAACTATCCTCCTCTTCTCTTACAAATGTCTGTACTCAAGTATTCAAGCCTTCCGATCTCCGTGTCTCGTTCGTTTCCCGCCAATTGGGTCAGGCCTGGAGCTCATAACAGGCCACTAACCGTTAAATTCAGTTTAGCCTATACAAAGGACAGGAGAATGAAATTGAGATCTTATCGTCAAATACTGACTGAGATATCATCCTAAAATTCCTGAGAATGTTTTTTTCGAATCTTAGAATATGCCAGTTTTGCTCTTCCAATAAAGTAGATAATGAAATTCATTTACTGTTGGAATGCAATTTATATAGCAATTTAAGAAAACAATTTTTTCAAGACGTAGAAGCCAAGTACTCCAAATTCGTAGATATGAACAAATCGGAAAAAGTTATATTTCCTTTTAACAATATTGATCCATATGTTTGTAAAAAAAACTTGGCTACTATGTCTACATGATGTAACATTTCAACTTAGAGAAACTTATTTCATGAAACAAAAGAATGGAAAACAGAGATTACTAATTATTGCATTTAATTAATACATAACTCTCTATTTATTTGGTTATTTTAAAATTACTAAAATTCTAAAGTGATAGTTTTAATGCGATACTTTTTCTGTATATGGGAATGCTAATAAAGTGTTATGTGTTGTTACTTGTCAATTTTCTCTTGACAGGGGAAAACTTTGTTTCAAAATAGGCTACAAAATCGGTAGGATTTTTATCAGTTGAGAGTATTCACCTTAATCACGCGTTATATTTGTCGTGACCAGACTATAAAGCGAGGCAAAAATTTCAATCACCTTTACTTCTTCCGTGTTTACTCAGTGATTTGCTCAGACTAAAATATGTCAACCGTAGCGAATAAAATAGTCACTAAATTGGTCGTCGTTTTACATATTGACGAGAAAATTCGAGTTATTCCCTTCTGATCAATCGGGTTGAAGCAGATCAAAAACAAGAAATGAGGAATTATATTCTCACTTATATTTGGAGGCTACTGGAAATATTTGACGGACTCACTCCTTCGCTGAAACCCCAGCATTACAGAAGTATATTGGCATAAAAGGTACGTTTTTGCGAGAGCTTTCGTGATGTTCTATCTCAATTTTAAAGAATATTTTGAAAATTTTGTTTATGCTTCGAGTCACGGTTCCAGAAGAACACGTCAGTTTCTTTTTTTGGTTCATAAATGGCTCTGCTCGAGTCACTCGCCAGTAGAGCTATGGATGACATTTGTTCTTTGGTTCAGTCTTGCTCTTTTAAAATGGAAAAATTAAATGGATACAATTTGGTTTATTTTCATGCACGTTGTTTTAGAAGGGCCATATTACAAGTCACACGGACGATGACAAAAAATATTTAATCGAAATACTTATGTGAACTACAGTCCTCTTTTTACTCTCCCTTTAATTACAGCACGAATACAAGTAACGGAATTCAAATTCTTGTTGATTGCTTTGATGGTGGGGATAGTTTTGGCTCAGTACGAAGCTTCATCAAAGACCTGTCCTCGCTGGTTGAAACTGAACAAGTCGCCGGTCTGCTTCGGTGCGCGGGGAGACCAGTTTGGTCGTTTTTCCTACCATCGAAACATCTTCGTGAGCTCGTTTATGATCGTGCACCGCTCGGGAAAGGTGTCGTCCGATAGTCGCAATTACAATTACTGGGGAGGAACTTCCGATGGTCGAGACCTTGGTGTCCTTTTGACCGATCAGAGCAATAAATTACTGGCTCCACAGTCATCGATCGTCTCCAAGGGTGGATGGTACAAACTGGCAGGTTACAGCGGTTCGTCGCCAGTCCTTCTGTTCTGTGTCTCAAAGAAGCCTCAGTGCGTCTTTGCCAACAGTGAGCTGCGTCTGTGGTATGGAGAGGATCTGCGCGGCCCTGCAAGCGAAAGTAATAATCGTGGCAAATCATGTGCTGACTTGTACGGCCTGTTGGCTTAAACCTAATGAAGAGCCAAATCCCAGATATTACCTGAGATTGTACTTTTGCAAATTTTATATAAAATGTCACTTTGGGATTAAATAGTTGTAGCATTACAGATAATATACAACACAAGTAAAGTCAGCCCCTATCTCCAAGTTTAATGAAGGACGTTTCATTATTAATGTACTAAAAAATCAATGTCTCGGTATTTTGTGAAGTAACCAGATGAGCTTTATCTACATTTGATCATTTTTTATTTTACATTTACTCTTTTTGGCTCTCATTAACAACAAATGATTATGGATTGTTTTCATTCTGATCATCATTCTCATCACCATCACCATTATCATGACAAAAATCAACCAATCTTTTTCATTTTTCACAGCTTACCGCGTTTTTCAAAAACATACGAACTCTGAAGTCAAAAGCCAACAGCTGTTTGTGCTTTTCGCTGCCGTCAATCATCTTAGCGGACTTCTTAGGAAACAGAACTTTACTTAAACGGGTTCAAAAGGCCATGGTTTGTGATCTGTGATTGGTGGATCTCTGGATCCGTTTTGTGTGTTTCTTTGTTTCAAGGTTCGTTGCTTGTGATCTGACTAGTAATAGTGATAGACTGCAAAACAGTCGGGTTTTTTTCTCAAAATCAGAAAGAAATCGGCAAAGTGTGGCGTATCGGAGTCTTACGCGCGCGAAGCGCGCGAGCCTTACACACCCGTAGGGCATGTGAGGTGTAATGTGAGGCGTCTCTCCCAGTCTCGCTCTCCGTTTTCAGCCTCGTTCCAGACCTTTTGTTTTACTACTCGCGCGTACTTTAAGACGCCAAAATACGGACTGTTTTGCAGTCTATAACCAGAGAAGGTTGGGCAGCAGTTCGCAAAGGATCATGGGGCGAATTATTAAGGAGCTCAGTTACAACGATACCGTCGAGCTAGAACGATCTCCGCGATTCACGCGCCGATTGCCGATGTTAGCCACAATTGTGCTCGAATTCAGAATATTTTGGCCCAAAAAGTTTATTCCATCAAAGATGTTATAAATTTCTCGCGGCAAAGTGGTCGAGATGCTTTTAAAACATGTTACTTGGCGTCGTCGAAAGTTAGCCGGGTTTACCAAGACATCTTGCAAGCAAAGCAAGCTGTGTCAACTATGTGCGTTTACCTTTCCAGACAGCGAAGGTTATTGCGAATACACATTCCACTGACCGATTAAGAATTTGAATGATGGTCAACAATGTAATGGGCTAGACAAATGTCCCACAGATTTGAGATACAATTAGGTCTCGATCACTTAGCTTTAATTGATCAATGGTCCACTTGAATTCATTCTTTGGATTGCTTATTTGAAATTTACAGGCTAAGTAAGCTTATATTTAGATTCTTGAAGACTTTCTCAAGGACTGAAGTAATAAATAAAGGTGTATTATTGAACTGAATGAATGCTAGGTACATACAAGACAGCTTTGGCGGTAGTAAGTTTTTTTTGGACTGGACCACTAGGTACTTCAATTATAATTAGAGGTAAAACCCTGAGTAAATTCCTCATAAAAAAATTACATTCCTTTTAGAGTTACGATATGGGCTACTGCAATAGAGAAAAGTAGATCGCATGCATTCCCAAAGAATCCTACAGATATGAGATTCTCTCGCTTTCTCGCGGTATCACTATGTATTTGAATAATGACTACACTTCCATTTCAGCATATTTTAAGTTCCTTTTTCGTCTTTCACATCGAGGTCCCAGCCATGCATGACCGCATTCCCTTCATCATAGATATTACAAATAAACAATTGAATAACCAATTATTTCAAGGGCAGCATTTTTGTTTTAAAGACTCAGTGTGATGGTTTTATGTACTGAAAATAAATATCCTCACAGAATGATATTCAGTAGTTGGAGGAATAAACAGTGGAAATATAGTCATTGACTGTGGTAAACTTTAATTGAATGAAGATGTTGAGAGAACTAACCAGCATTAAGCTTCTCCGACTGACAAGAAGATCACCATCGCTAATTGCCTTCAATAATTGGAGAACAATAGAAATGCACCGTTAACCGAGAAGACCTGGGGACGAGGTTGAGTTGTTTTGGTTGTGAAAACAAAAATGATGGACATTTCATTCGTTTCAAGAGTAAGAACTAGGCGAAATAATAGCTAAAAAGATGGCAAGAACAGCAAGAAGACAACTCAAAGGGTGACACCTGCTGTTTGGAGAATATTTGCGGAGATGAACAACCCTAAACGTGCACTATCGAAGATGAACTTAACATCGATGGAGGTAACCATGTTTTAGCTATGTTCTTAAACTTGGAATTATTTTGAACGAATAATAATTCGGCTTTCGTATCATATGAAGAATTATGGCCTCCACGGATAACACCCTCCTCAATCTCCATAATTCTTCATAAGATACTCAGCCTCATTCTTTAATTGCTAATTCAAGATAGGAAATGTGTCTAACCAAAAGCACAAAACAGTTAATACAGTAAAAATCGGCCGGATTGTTGATTGAGTCCAGTTGACATGTCGAGCTCGTAGAACTGCTGTATCGAGCTTGGTTGCCTACATAACTAATATGATCCAAAATCTCCAACTAAATACGAATCTGGTTTGTAAGAGCCTGTCAGGCTAAAATTTGCCAGTTAGGGCCCCTCTATACAAGAACCTGTTCAGCCTAATACTTAAAAACAGTTTCTTATTTTCTAAAATCTGTTAACAAAAAAAAAATTCTATACACTTGGACAAACTATAGGGTGTGTCAACATTTGGGATCCACTTTAGAGACACAGGAGCGTTATCACCGCCTATGCCTATCATACTGCAATATGTAATGGCATGCATATTTTATATAAGGAAAATACCCGGTAAGAACCTAAATTAGTACTAATTACCACATGTAAGAACCTGTTTAGCGGGGCTAACTTATCAAAAGGCAGGTTCTTAGCTGCAGGTGTTTACTGTATTCTTGTTTGATGCTTCAAAGAACCGCACCTGTTGATTCAATAATACATATCTCACACGTGATGGCTCCAATGACAGATATGTTATTGCCATTGCGACTGTCAATGACACCAACGAAATTTTCTTGTGGCACACTTTCAAAGGTACAAAAGCGCGGACACTCAAGATGACCCAATATTTGCCACCTAGCAGGATTCGAATGCACGCAACAACCCGTGCGGTTTGTTATATTTAGGACAAAGATTTCCTCCACTTCCAAGTATTTGACTTGCAGGCCGGGAAAATTGAACGACGCTTGCAGGGTAAAGCACCCAGAAGGACGGAAGCTTTTGGCTTCACTGACGACAGCCACAGCATCACATTTTCCCGCGGGAGACGCAACCTTAAAGTATGAAATATCAATGATGGCAAGCTAGTCAGCCAATACAAGTTTGGACAGAAGTTTCGATTTGAAGACATGCTAGTCAGCAGGAATGGTAACGCAGTTGTCTGCAGTCAAGTGGGTCAGACAGTTGAACATGATGAAAGCACTGTACCACTGGTTTTCTTGAACCCCAAGAAGGGTATAGGCTCAGTGTTGATGAAGAGAACACCCATGTCATTGCCACGGCAATATCAACGCTCAGCAATGTAATTCTTACCGGCGAGAGCGATGGAGGTATCAACGTTTGGGACATTACCAGTGGCCATGTTCAGTACACTTTCTTTTGCGATGACGTCGATTCCTTATTCATTACAAAAGACGGACGAGTGGCATTCTCTAACTATCGTTCTAACAATCGCAACATTGATGCTTGGGACTTAAGCAATGGTTCAAAGTTAGCTTCCTTCACCTCAGACTGGAAACCTGAACGAATTGTGATCTGCGGCAACCGCCTCGTAGTTGCGAAAGCGGACAAGCCAGAGCTTATGTCGCTACGTCCTCACATTCCCGGATATACAGAAGATGTCGCAAATGAGGATGGTCATTTCATGGATTGTCCCTTGGAAAGTCAGATGCAGCCCCTATTGGAGATTGCAAGTGGTGAAGATGAAGATGAAGATGAAGATGACGATTTTGATCAAACTGACATTCAGAAAACAGAGCTAACTAAGAAGGCAGTGTATGCAAGCCCGAATGTTATAATCGGAGGGGGTAGTTCAGTATTTGCGTCGAAGAATATTTTCATTTCTGGTAACGTCACAATTAATGGTATTCCAATACAAGATTTGTAGGTATCTTCTTAGTCATGAAATAACAGCGTATGTTGAGCAAGGGTTCAGGTATTCAGTGTTGTTTCATGGCAATAATACTA